AAAAAAAACAAAACAAGAGTCTTCCATGTGCATGAGATGTTCCCTTGGTGGACCGTCATCCTAGCTCCATGTCTCCAATAATTATGGACAGGGAAATCTCCTTTAGCATGACCTATGCCATCTTACTTCATTTGCTCCATTTCATTTACTCATTTTTCTTTATAGTTTTCTCGAATGCGTCCATGTCAAGATCTTTTGGCTTTGCCCTTTTAATTAGCTCTAGCTTTTGACTAGTGCCCCCGAATGCCCGATTAATCTCTACACTAGGAGTGGCAGATTTTCTAGGGTGGTAACAAACTAGACAGTTCACTCATCAATTTAAAAGAACGGAAAATTTTGACTTACGTACAGTCATGTTGTTATATAGTGTTACTAATTTATAGCCAATAAAACTATGCGACTTTAATAAACTTGTAACACTATATGACAGTACGAAATGACCTTGCGCGTCCTCCCGAAGATTCTGTATATTGAGGCTTTCCCATGGCTTTTCTATGTTAACAACTCAAAGATTCTTGTGTATTGATGCTTCCCAATGGCTTTTTGTGTCAACTTAACCAATAATAAATTAGTGGATAGCCTAATGATGCGTACAAAATCTGCAAGTCACAGGTGAGACCTTCTAGATATATGAAACGTGTCCCATTGGTTGATTCCTTGCTTTGATTTCTGCTCAATTTCACGGACCCAAATTTCTGGTCAAACTTGGCGTTAAAACTTAAAGGGAAATGGCCCTCAGTGCCACCCATTTTATAATTTTTTGTCAAAATACCACACCTCCCCAAAATTTTTAAAACTATCACCTATAAATACATTTTTATTGTTCACTTATTGCCCACATAACACTTTTCTCTGAAATTGTGTTCTCTCTCTCTCTCTCTCTCTGAAACCCAGTTCTTCATCTTCCTCTTTGTTTTCTTCTCTACCCAAATGAAGTCTTGCAGCAACAGTGAAAAGGAATCGGGTGAAATCCCCAGTTTTTGAAGTTTCCCAACAAGGCAAAGAAGAACATGTTTACAATTGACAAAGTGGATTTGATAATCTCACCGGTGGGTTCATGGCCCAAACCCCAGATACATCTTAATCAAGACCCTTGACCAAACCCACATGAATGAAATTGTGAAATCTGATACAAGCAAACCAATCCTCCCCATTTTGCTCGCACAGAAATCACCAACGCTTACGCTTTGCACAGAAATGGTGGCTGGCCAGTGCCCATTCTATTTTTGGTCAACATGGAAGGACAAAGTAAACGAATCTTATTCATCATCAGCATCCCCTAGATGGACCTAGCAAAAAAAAAAAAAAAAACCTCTTTATTCCTACCCAAATCCTCTTTGTTTTCACTATAAACCACAAGAACAGCAATCGTATTGTGATTTTATTGCGGTTGTATTGTAGTCGTATTGCTTTTGTATTGCTATGGTATTGCGGTTGTACTATTTTTGTAATACAACTACAATACAACAATACTATAGCAATACAAATGCAATACGACTACAATACAACCGCAATAAAATCACAATACGATTGCTGTTCTTGAAGACCGTAAACCCAGACTTCAAAACCCCCAAATTAGACCAAAATGCTCAAACAATGGCCACCTAATGCCAACACATGCTGTCATATTCAGAAAAGATGGTTTTGTTTGGGTTTGTTTAGGTTGCAAAAGGGATTCGAAGAGAGATAGAAATTAGGGTTTGGATTTGGGTAGAGAAGAAAACAAAGAGGAAGAGGAAGAACTAGGTTTTGAGGGCAAAGCTGTGGGTTTTGCAGGTTGTTCTTGATCTTCTTCTTCGTGAGGAAGACGAAATTGGGGTTTGGATTTGGGTAGAGAAGAAAACAAAGAGGAAGAGGAAGAACTGGGTTTGAGAGAGAGAGAGAGAGAACTAAATTTCAGAAAAAGTGTTATGTGAGCAATAAAAATGTATTTATAGGTGGTAGTTTTAAAAATTTTGGGGAGGTGTGGTATTTTGACAAAAAATTATAAAATGGGTGGCATTGAGGGTCATTTCCCAAACTTAAATGCATCCTCCTCCTATAAGAAGCTTCCAAGGAGGGTTCCTTAGCCACTTTTAAAATTTAGCCAGACCAAATATATATATATATATATATAAATTAATCACAATTTATCAATGATTGTTGAAATTTGAATAAAAAATATATATATTATTTTAAAAGATCATACTCGTATGAATATGCTGCCGGTATGAAGCAACTATCCTTTTTATTCCTCTGCTAGCTCACTATCACTGGAGCAGAATGTTCAAACGTCTTACAATATTGAAGTGGAGAGGAGAAATATCAGTTGACTATATATAGCTAGTTGGTGCCGACCAGTGGAAGTTGGATATGTTTCCAAATCACATCCTCATCTCCTAACACTTTTTGCTTATATCTCATAGGCAATAAGAAGATTTTCCTATGCCAATATCACTTTGAGATATCAAAGTGGAAAGACCAAAGATGTCGAGAAATTTAAATAATAATATTGGATGCACTAACTATTTTCCCAACTCTTGTCTTATTTCTCTCACATAATATGAGAAAGTATGAAATCATATAAGACTTATGTACGTCTCATTCTATGTTAGAAAGTTCAAAAAATTAATTGATGTACGTTTAGCATTATTCGGATGCAAATCATGGGAGATGGTATCTTATCTACTTTTCCACATATGTGGAGTCTTCCCACGTGCCAGGCTTCGTCTCTCCCTTGGCTTTAGAAGGGAAACGATGACTGGAGGCTTGGACTTGGAGCATCATGAACATATAATAGTAGTAGGGGTAGTCTTTTTCCACGGACGCAAACCTCCT